CCCAGAATTCCCCAGCCAGCCCTGGGAGTTGAAGTCCACTCATCTTAAAGTGGCCAAGTTTGGACAACACTGACCTACGGTCTCCGAGTTCCTAGCCTGATCCTTTAACCACGGCATCAAATTCTCTCCTTTTTGTAGTGATAGACTACCACAAAAACTCTACATAACAACATTGACAGCTGTTCCAGTGAAGACGATCTTAGCTTTAAAAATAAACCAAACATAAAAGCCAAAAGAAAAGAAACAAGACTGCAATTAATATGAAGACCATGAAGGTGATGTAAATATAGTAACATGAAAGTGAAGTTTAAAAAGCTAAGGTAACCAACAGGGTGATCACGCTGTCATAGGTGGGGCTTGATTGCATCATGGTGGCCAGCATGTTGACCATTTTGACCCTCTAACCCCCGCGGATACCTTGATAACTAGAATTTAGAATATGAAAGGCAACTGGCTGTGTTGGATTTCCCATCGATGAAACATCCGCTTGACTTTAAATTTAGGAGAGTGCCGTTTTTTAAAATATAAAAACGTTGATGCTGTTTATGTATGTATGAACCCATTCATTGGTTTAAAAGAATTTTACAAAAAAATGAGACCACTCAGAAATAGATAACCCATGGTTGTTCCCTTTGCCGTCCACTTTGCCATCACTGCTGCCTCTAAAAAACGGAATAAAAAGTTTGAATGAAAGAGGGATGAAAAAGGACTGCTATGCAATAGATCGAGGAAGAACAAGGGAAAGCAACTGACTTTCAAAAATTGGTGTCAGGGTGGAGTAATAGTAAAGCATTTTTTAAAAAACGGTGGCTGAAATTGCATGCCCGCTTTCCAAGAAGGAAATGAAATTTGCTTCCAGGGTGATGGTCTTTGGAACTTGTGTTTTGCATGTTCTGAAGTTGTGGCATCAATGTGCTTGCACAGTTCGGCTTGGTTTTAAATAGTTTATAGAGATCTGAATGCTTGTAAACGAACACTGCTTTGCTTTTTGATTTGTTCATGGTATTCTCATTATTAATTATGAATGTATCATGCTTCAGTTTAGGAAGTCAGAATGGTTTAAACACCATTTGCAGAAGTCTTTCATGAAGTCAGTTACAGCGTCTCCAGTTTCAACTATAACCCTGGGTATTCTTGGACTGTTCACTTATCCATATACAGGTATTACTGATTTAGCGACTGCCTCATTTAGTGACCATTCGCAGTTACGAAGGTGATGAAAAAGTTACTTTGCGACCAATCCTTGCGTTTATGACCTTTGCAGGTCTGTAAAGCAAAAGAAAATGGAAGAAAGATCATAAGCACCCTTGTGGTTTCACTTAGCGACTGCTTTGCTTAACAACTGAGTTGCCAGTCCCAATTGCAGTCGCTAAATGAGGATGACCCGAATGCACTGTAAGTCCTAAAACACACAAAAGGACAGGCTAATGTAGCAGCTCATTCTTGCCAAGTTTTTCCTATTGCTCCAGTAAGTTTTTTACCGCCAAGTCCTGTTCAGCAGGATCTGAGAGATGGCTCTATGTGAAGATCCAAGAGAGTTTCATCTGCATGGACTTTGTAGCAGGGCTTTCTCAATGGTGGCCCCTCACGTGGAAGAACTTGGAGAGAGTATTTAGAGATGTCAAGTGTTGGTATCTACCCATGTGGATTAGTGCCATTATAATGCATTCGTTTGAGGATGGTTGTCTTGTTTTTAATCTGCTTTTTTCTCTGTTCATGGCACCAAGATGTTGGAAGCAGAGGGACATAGAAATGTTAATCAGTAAATCATTTGTTTTTTACCACAGCTCTGCAAAATCCTAGTCTCACTGCTCACCTATTCTTCCCATATTAATCCACAGTTCTGTTCCAAAAAATTTGGCTGGGGGGGGGGGTCCTTCAGTTCAGTGTTGATTCCTGGTGACTGCCTGGACCAGTCCCTGCAGTTTTCTTGGCATGACCTGAGAAGTGGTTGGCCATTGCCTCCTTCCTAGGGCTGAGAGAGAAGAACTGGCCCAAGGTCCCCCAGCTGGCTTTGTGCCTCAGGCAGGACTAGAACTCAGGGTCTCTCGATTTCTAGCCTGGTGCCTTCACCACTACCCCAAGCTGGCTGTTTTTCTGAAAAGTAGAAACAGTATTAACAAGGCCCTTTCGTCGCTTAGTCCTTGATCAGTGATTCTTCTTACAAATTGCCCCAAAAGATCACAATCACACCCTCCCCAGCACTTCAGAAAATCTATACCAGTATCTGACAAGGGATTGGCCTGGAACGGAAGGAAAAGAATAGTTTGTGTTGGTTATGTGCGAATAGGAGGGGGAAAAAAAGAATTGGCTGTGACTAACGAATTCAGGTCTCCTCCTTCGCCCCCTTTCTTTGACCCCCACACTCTGTTTTTCTTTCCTCCTTCACAGTGATAAATCGGTGGTCTCCCACTTCTCCAAAATCCTTCTGTCAGCTGCTTGTTCAGTTTGCTTAGTTGCTGGTAACAGATTGGTTTCCTCCAGCCCCGATCCAGGGTTAGAGGGCACCTAATTTCCTGCAGATGTGAGAAAAGGCCAAACAGCTGATAGCTTTGGATAAACGGGCTTCCCTTTTTTTGTCCCTGTGCTGCCCTTGAAAATGGGGGGCCTTTTGGAACGGTTCACACAACTGATCTCTGTAAACATAACATGCCGATGGCTGTCATCGGTTTCTCAAAAGATGTAGGAGTCCCCAGAGGAGAGAGATGCAAAGATGCGTGTGGAGGTTTAAAAAATATATATATGCATACATACCCAGAGCAAAAATCCTGGGGATATTTCTGGGGGAACTGGGACATGTTCTCAGGGATAATACTTGCTTCCTTGCTGTGTGGACAAGTCTACATGTGCTTGCTAACGGCGTAATGTTAGTGGCTTAACTCTCTTTGGGTATGTGCGGATACAGGGGCGTCTGCAGGGAAGGGGTGCAAAAAGTCAAGATGGTGGCCACAGCCATGCAATCGAAGCCTCACCCCCCCGATGGACACCCCTGTGCTGATGCCAGTGGAATGCACTCTGGCCACCACCTAATACACCTGATTTCCAGACATATGTTGGCCTCACTCGTTGACAACATCTGTGCAACTAGAAAAATTATGGATAGCAATTCAGCTCAAACTGCTCCAGGTTATTCTGTAGAAGGTGCATTTGTTATTTTAAAATGATGGTAGGCTGCCTGTCATGCAGATCAAAATGCAATAATAATGTTAATAATGAAATGTAGGAAGTTGAAACACGTGTGTGTGTGTGTGCCTTGAAGTCGGTCTTGATTCCTGGTGACTACCTGGACTAGTCCTTGCTGTTTTCTTGGCAAGATTTTCAGAGGTGGTTTGCCCTTGCCTCCTTCCAGGGGTTGAGAGAAAGGGACTGGGCAAATGTCCACCAGCTGACTTTGTGCCTAAGGCGGGAGAAGAACTCATGGTCTCCTGGCTTCTAGTCCAGCACCAGCACCACTACACCAAACTGGCTCTCATTGCCTTCAAGGCAATCGTGACTCCTGGTGACTACATGAACGAGTCCCTGCAGTTTT